AATAAAGTTTAAAAGACAGACACCTGGGTGGAGACGCACATCCACATTCAAAGGTGTCTCCTCTTAATGGTCTGCTTGTGTTTTTTTCTTCATGTTCGACAGCATTAAAAACTAAAATAACGTAACCTGCACTTAGATCAACCAAAAACCTTGAGCATCCAAAAAGAATCACATCAGATATAAATACAGATTGAGGCACTCCATCATTTCCAGTACACAACAAGTATAGGAGACGGCTGAGTGGTTGACATTTAGATTAAAACACAGGGACTTGACACAGAGCAGATGGAAAAGGTCTCCAATGACTTGGATCTGAGTATTTTCTTTCTGATAATATGTAAATCTTTATTAAACACTCCGTCAATGACCAGGAAAGCAGATTGATGTTTATTGACTGCATTGTCATGATACTTCTCTGCATTTTAAATCTGCACTGGTCCACTATAAGCCTTCCTGAGACACAATCAGCGCTGACGATCTGATGCGAGAGTCTCTCTTCTCCCTGTTCTGTTTCAGCCTCCGGAGCACCGGGGCACTGCCACACTCGTCTGCCCAGGGGACGTCTCCCACTGCTGGGGCACAATGCCCGTCTGTCTGGGAGTCTGGCCATGAGATCACAACATTGTCACATTAGTGCAGGAACCCAGGCTGGACCGTACCGGCTGACTACAGTGATGGACCACAGCTCTGTGTCCTAATGATCACTATGGCTGCAGATGGAGGGATGTTCATCCTGAACATGTCCTGATGAAACACAGGAGGTGGTGTTACCTTGAATTTGGGTGGAGATGTTTGGCTCCAGGTTCCCGGCCACCACTCTCCTCCTCCTCTGCAGCACCAGCAGGAGCTCGGTCTCCCCTACATTTCGGCCGACACCCCTCCTGGAGGGGACTCTGCGGAAGTGCTGACGTTTCATGTTGTCCTGGTGAGAAAGTGATTGAAGATTGTTTTAAATACTACATATTATGTTATGGTGAGAACCACAACAGTCAGATGTCTTCTTTTTTTTTTTACCAGCATTCCTCTCAACTCTTGGACCTTGGATTTCCTGTTTTCACTTCTTTGGTCCTGTAACAAGAGTTGAGATTCAAACCAAACCTCTTTGAACTCATGTCAGAGATATTGATGTAAAATGTACAGACCTTCCATGAGCTGTCATCCTCCTGAGAGCAGAGAGGGTGGATGAATGTTACAACAAGGAGCATTTTTTACATTTAACCCCCCCCCCCCCCAAACAATTAGAACTATTAGTTATTTTACCTCTGAGTTCTTGACGGGCCTCAGGACAATTCCTTTTTTTATTCTCTCCATCATCTCCTCCACAGCGTTGGCCTTCAGGTCCACATCTGGGGTTTAAGTTTAACATAGATCTTCCTTTTATCAATGCAAATTATATATAAATACTTTATAAAGTACATAAAGAACAATGACAGAGAGAACGACTGACTCTTTAAGTCACGTTTTCTGGCTCCATCTTTCCTCCTTTGTCTCAGAAAATCCAGTGAACTAAACCAGAGAAAAAGACGAGTGATAGAATATTTGAGTTTTGACTGACTGTGTCAGATTGTAAGAGAAGTGTTTCGTCCTTCCTTACTTTTAATCATCTTTTTTTTTAATCATTAATGTTCTCAGGATATCAGGATAATTTTAAAAAAATGCTGTATAGAAATCTTCAGGTGGAACTGAGATTCACACTGAAAACCTTCTGTCTGGTTTCACAGCAGACGAAGCTCTTACTTGGTGACAGGAGATGAAGTTGTAAGTGGTAAAGGGGGAGCAGGAGGTGGAGGAGGAGGAGGAGGAGGAGGAAGTAGAGGAGCTGGGGATTTCTCCAATGCTTCATCTGAGGAATGCTTGTTGTTTAATCTCTCCAACAACTGTCTTACTAAAAAGGGAAAGACAGTTCAGTGCTGCATTAATAACAAAACAACTGCACAGCTGATGACATTAGCTCAGGTCATTGTCCACCAGCAGCCACTGTACCTTCCTCCTCCAGCTGCACAACCCTACAGTTGACCTCCGTCAGCTCAGATTCCAGGGCCTTTCTCTCCACCTGGCTCTTCTCCAATTGCTCCGTCAGAGTCTGCAGCTCAGAGATGTTACTCTCAGCATCCTGACTCTGTTTCACCTGAAAATGTCCGAAACAGAAGAAAGAAAAATAAGTACAAACATTGTGTTTGACAGTATGAAAGATCACTACCACAAACAATACAAAAGGCTGCCCTTTGGGGGCGCTAAGTATGTGGTTCCTCTGAGAATGAAACCCAGCACTCTCGGCTTGTTAGGCTGTAAGTATTTAACATCTGTGCCGTGACAGGGATTGGAACTAGGGCTGCGGTTGAATTTTGGTGTAGCAGTGTACCAGAAACAGCACAACATAACAATTTAAAATCGGGTAAAGATAATTGACTATGAGTCTAATTATTTGTAGAAAGGACAAAAATCTATTTACAGTTGGCAAACAAACACCTACAAAACAAATAACTAACTAACTTAACCATAACAGCTAAGAGTTAGCAAAGAAACAGCAAAGGATATGAATGTAGAATGTCAGCGTAATTGGATAGTTTGCTAAACAAATACATTAAAGTATAAAAAAAAAAAAAACACCCACTGAGAACAGCTGAAGGCTATCAATAAAAATGAGCTACAATTTAACTCATGGGGAGCTCATTAAAGCTGAAAGTTAGCACCAAGAGCTACCAGACCGTTTCCAAAGGTATTATATCTGCAGTGACAGTTATACATACAAATATCTTTCAGGGATGTGTTAATTGTTAACTCTTTTTTCTACCCTTTCACAATTAACTTTAAAACGAGGTTGTGAGCCACATTAAACTCCTGAAGCCAGAGCTTGGACACACCTGCTCACCACATCCACAGCCCCGCTCCTGGTAGAAACGCTGAATGTTCCTCAGAGCTGCGCTGATGTTGGATATTTGCTCCAGCGCCTGCTGCAGCTGCAGCTCCGTTTCCGAGCTCTGTCTCAGTGTCACACTGTTCACGTGAGCCGCCTTCTGCTGCTCCATCATCTGACAGCAAGACAAAAACAAACATCACAGATATCCACCCACACAATAAAGGTGACAACGAAACACAAAGAACAAAAGAGGAAAGTGGAATAAAAGACGTGTTTAGCGACTGTTAATTTTCTGCTCCCTGTGAGGTTGTCTGTTAGAGGAGGAGTTTCTTAAAGCACTGTTTGTCAGAACAATGACATGTAAGCTCTGTTGGAAAGACTCCTCAAGAACAATGGGAAGAGCATCATTTATGCTGGGAGACAAAACCTTGTTTCCCCGCAGTATGATGATGGACTTCAAAAAGGGATAAATGAAACCAGGCTGCGCCTCCAAATTAAGATTTCTACTTCTCTGCTCCAGCACAAATCCAACTTCAGCCCATAAATAATGAGCCCAGTTTAACAAACAAAGACTATTGAACTCCACGCGAGCTGTTCTCCTGTGCAGATTGGTCAAGTGTGTTTTTTTCATGAAATAAAAAAATGATGATAACTTTATTCTTAGTTTGTCGAACAATTGTAGTCAAGCTTGTGTAGTGAAACTCACCAAAGACAAAGAAGAAGACAAAATGACTGTGTGTGTGTGTAAAAAAGAAGAACCAAAGCAAAAGAAACAATAAATTAATTTGGAACAACTATATTCAACAGAACTTTGGTTTAGAATATCAAAAACGGCTAATAGTTAGCTGGAGAAAATAGAGCAGAACATTCTGCATTAGCATACACACACACAAATATTTATATATATATATATATATATATATATATCAACATCATCACAACTACAGGAAGTCAGTTCTATACAGTAAAATTCCAAATGACAGGTGATATGGTCACATGTCATATGTCATATTTATGAACATATGTCATATGTTCATAAGGGAACTGTTCTACGAAATAAAAGGATGTGCAATATTTTTCATTTATTTTACATTTCTGTGTTTTCACTTTCAGCAGAAGCTGAAGCAGCAGCTTCGGTTTTGAGCTCCATGACACAATGACGGACATTTTCACACAGCAATTAGTGCAATTATTTCACATACACAGACACACACAGACACACACACGCTGGGGCTTTTTTTTTTTCAAAGCTCTAAATTGTTTCCTGTTTGAGGCCCTGCATCATTATACCACCCTGCATCACAGAGGAGAGGTGTGAATGGCTGCTGTTTTCAAAACACATGAAAACACACAAATAGCAGTGCATACAAGAGGCGTTCAGCTGAGTTGGGTGGGGGGAGGGGGGCTTTTAGTCTGAATTGAGAGTAAAGAGGCCGAATTGTGTGAACAGTTGGGGGTCCCTTTCACAGGTAAGGACCCCCGGGAGGCAGCCCTTTGTTTGTCTGTCCAGCAAATGAGGAACGATGCGCACAAAGGCGACAATTGCGATATGCTCGGCAAAACATAAAGCTATCAGGCAAAGACAGGTTGTGCTTAAAGACCACCATTCTCCCCGGGCTGCAGTGATGACCACTAATTATGGCAGAGGGAGGGGCTAAATGGGACATTTTTTGAAAGAGAAGGCCTTCATTATGGGAGCAGGTGGGGCAGAGGGACTCGTGTGTTTGTGTGTGGATGCATTTTCTTTGAATCAGTGTGTTTGCCTGTGTGGGTGCGAGCGTGTTTCTGCTTTTGTCCCGCGTGTGTGAATGCCTCCACCTCTAGTGTCTCTAGTGTGTGACAACACAGAATGGAGAAGCCGTCTCCTGTCCCAACACATCAGCTGCTTCCTGACAGGAGCAGTGTGGTCCCATCTTGACCCCCAACCTTCACACACACACACACACACTCAGAGGGACACACACTCACACTGACCCTCCCCACACTTGTTCAAATGTCTGTGTCTCCACCACTGCAGCCTGAAGGTCAGGTCAGCACCATCACTCCTGCTCACTTCCTGTGGCACGACCCGTCACCCTGAGTCCACCAAGGTGTGAATGTACGACAAAATCCTTCATGCCCCGTTAAACACACACACACACACACACACGCCGACCTTTCAGCCCTTCCTAAATGAAGCCTGATTCTCATTGGCCAAAAACCAGCTTTATCCACATTTCAACATGTTTTAACATGTTGAAATCTTTTTCCTCTCCACCCAGAGGAGGGTCAACCCGTGGGTGTTATCTGACCCCAATATTCCAATATTCCAGATATCATCCAGGACACTGACACACACACACACACACACACACACATACACACACCTGCTGGGCCAGGACTTCAGCTTCTTGACGGAGTCCTTCCTCCAACTCCAGTCTCTGAGACATTTCTTCAAACTCCTCTGTGACCAGCTGGGACACTGGACACACACACAAAGAGAATATCAGAAACACAGCAGTTGTTTTTTAGTGTCATTTTAAAACCAACTTAAATGAAATGATAAAAATAAAAGACTATTATTGAAAAATGTACCTCGTTTGATTTTATTCATGCTTTTGTTCTGTTTGTTCATTTTCCTCAGTAAGGCCTCCTTCTCTTCAACCTCCAGAGCCAGCTGTGGGCAAAGTCAGTGATGAGACACACACACACACACACACACACACACACACATCATCATCATCATCATCATCATCATCAACGTGCGGACCTACCTGCTCTCTGAGTTGACCCAGCTGATTGGTCAGATCTTCTCGTTCCTGCTCCAGCTGCATCTTCTCTGTCAGCAGTCCGTCCACTGTGGCCTGCAGCTCTGACACATGGACACTCCCTGTCAGTACATACGAAGCTCTCAGTTCAACATTAAAGCTGATTTCTAGATTTTCGATAAATGTCAATATTGGTCCCATTTTCTAACTATTAGAACTCCACCTGCGATCTTGGCCTGGTTCTCCAGTAGGGGCAGCGTCTCCTCATCCCCTTTGTCCTCTCCCTGATCCACCACATCACCTTCGACTACTGGGTCAAGGTCTGGGTCAAAGGTGACATCCTCCTGGGTTTCACAGATGCCCGGCATCAGCATCTGACTCTGTCTCTTCAGGACTTTGTTTTCTTTACACACCTGGACCAGAAAGGACATAAAAAATAAAAAAGAACAAAAATGGGGGATAAAGTCAATGAATTAACAACAGGAGGAAACTTAAGGGAAAAGAGCAAAACTGAGAAAAGCAAAGAAACAACAAAAGCCAGGTCGAAGAAGCATAATGAAAATGACATTTTTAGAGAGAAGCAAACAAACCTCCAGAGCCAGAGCCTCGGCACTCTCCCTGCATGACCTCTCGATCTGGAACTGAAGCTCCAGGATGTTCATCTCTTTCAGGATCTGATTGGAGACTGGGGGTGAATGGGGACAATTTAATCACAATCCAATCAACATTTCTTTTTTCATCATGACAGAATAATGAGTGGGTGAAACTTCTCACCTTCCTCCAACTCCGACAGCCTCTGATTGGTCTCATCCCTCTGTTTTTCCAGGATCTCATACTGGCGGTTGAGGAGAAACAATAGAAAAAAAACATTTGTTATTTAACGAGACAGTGGAGGACATACAGTTTCTATAGGTTTTTATTGTATCTATATAAAATAGACATCCTACGTGGGTGATTGAATTAATGAACCCATTTAGAGCCCAGGTGATACCTGAATGTCTCCTTCATCATCAGAGGATGAATCACTTCTTTCATCAGACTCTGTGACAAACAGAAAAATCACAGCATCGTCACAGGGCTGTGGGAAAGAAGATAACCAGAGATCTTCACATCCTCGTGCTGTCAGTGAAACTAAGAAGAAGGAACTGTGCAAAGCTGCTCTGACAGAGCGGGGACGGACAGGAAGTGAAATCGCAGATTGTCACAAGGCTCAGTCCACTCTTTGGAACTGTTGACAAATACAAAGGACTATTTCACCCAAATCACGTCTCAGAATTCTGGGAAATATACAAATTTCAAGGCCAAACTGTGTCTTAGATCCAGTCTTGGGTTTTAAAATTAAGATTGAAAACATAGGAAGAGCCATGTGTTTCAAGGACCTTTAGGAAGAGCATGTAAAATAGTAACAGTATGGAGCCCAACATAGATCTGTGGGGAACACCAACATATTTAAATGACACTAATTAGGAGAATTAACAGATGAGTCAAAATAATGTACGTATATAAAAGTTCATATATATTTATATTTATGTATATATATATTTATAAACATAATTTTATTATTTAAAGTCAGTCTTACCTGAAGCATCTTCATCTTGGACCCACATTCTTTACAACGGACAGAACGTTTGAACTAAAACTGAGTTCCAGCAGAATTCTCTGTCACCGTGAGCAGAACTCACTTCATTAAAACAGAAGCAAACAGGAATTTCTGCTGAAACACTCCTCAAATACTAGAGTTCCGAAAAGGGAACTTCCTTCTTACACTGGTCTGAAGTTAGTTTCAGTCTCATCATCAGTCATGTGATCTGAGAATGATTGTCCATCCATCCATCCATCTTCAACCGCTTATCCGGGGCCGGGTCGCGGGGGCAACAGTCTGAGCAGGGACACCCAGACTTCCCTCTCCCTCGACACTTCCTCTAGCTCTTCTGGGGGGACCCCAAGGCGTTCCCAGGCCAGCCGAGCGACGTAGTCGCTCCAGCGTGTCCTAGGTCTTCCCCTAGGTCTCTTCCCAGAGGGACGGCACCCGAGCACCTCCCGAGGGAGGCGTCCGGGGGGCATGCGATGTAAATGCCCAAGCCACCTCAGCTGACTCCTCTCGATGTGGAGGAGCAGCGGCTCTACTTCGAGCTCCTCCCGCGTGACAGAGCTCCTCACCCTATCTCTAAGGGAGCGCTCTGCCACCCTGCGGAGAAAGCTCATTTCAGCCGCTTGAATCCTTGATCTCGTTCTTTCGGTCATGACCCACAACTCATGACCATAGGTGAGGGTAGGAACGTAGATTGACCGGTAAATTGAGAGCTTCGCTTTTCGGCTCAGCTCCTTCTTCACCACAACGGACCGATACAGCGACCGCATTACTGCGGCCGCAGCACCGATCCGCCTGTCAATCTCACGCTCGATTCTACCCTCACTCGTGAACAAGACCCCCAGATATTTGAACTCCTCCACCTGAGGCAGGACTTCATCCCCGACCCGAAGGGTGCATACCACCTTTTTCCGGTCGAGAACCATGGCCTCGGACTTAGAGGTGCTAATTTTCATCCCAGCTGCGTTACACTCTACTGCAAACCGCCCCAGTGCATGCTGCAGGTCCTGGTTCGAAGAAGCCAACAACACCACATCATCTGCAAAAAGCAGAGATGAAATCCGGTGGCTACCGAACTGGACCCCACCCGACACCTGGCTGCGCCTAGAAATTCTGTCCATGAAAATAATGAACAGAACCGGTGACAAAGG